AGGTTCATAGGTCTCACGTGTGTACAAGTCGAGTCTAAATAGAGTCTCGATGATCAGTACGGAGACGTCTGTACCTATCTTCGAGAGGCTATAGTGACTTTTAGGAAATATCTTCACTTCTTGAATCTCTATTATGCGTACTTGGTCCCATTTTGATTCTTATCACTTCACTCCATTCGCTCTCGTTTATGTGATGACTCGTGCGTAGTTCCTTTTGTGAATCATTGGCATGTCATGTATTGGTTTGATGTTAGATCTGGTATTAAGGTTAAAATGATATACTTATGAAATGAATGCGTGATCATATTTGAAAGAGTTGAGTAAGGTTAGTTATCATTGTAAAATAATAATAATAAATATAGTACTTATTTGGTATAAGCAAAATATGGAGTGGTTCGACAATTAGAAGTTAAATGTTTGAAGAATTAACTATATAATAAATCGTGTAACCTTGAAAAATACAATTGATATAGTTGTCATACCATTAATGATTTTCTTAGTAAATGATGTTGCACCAATTCAGGTCAGAATCCCTTATGTGGTTTCACAGATTGAGTGTATACCAAAGAAGGTCATGATACGACTATTACAATGATACTGATGGGTACTTGGTTAGAATTATGGAGTGTGTTACTTTTGATATTGACCTTGCTTACGAAAGAATACATATAGCTTGGGTTAGATACAAAACTAATCTGGTAATATTTTACAGCTATTTGATGGATAAAGTGTGTGACCTATTTGGAAATGATCTTCTCAATAGATATGATATGTTCTAGTGGTGGATGTAACGAATTTTCACGATGTGTTACTAGTGGTACATGGAAACGGACATGTTGATTGTTAAGTGCAAATACTAACTACTTTAGGAGTTATCTATTGTATTACATGCTCATATGATAAGATTTAGTGTTAAATTCATATTCGAGATACCAACTAGCTTGTTAGTACGAGTAGATGTGTTAAGCATTATTTATAAGGAAGCTTTTAGTGGTGGATCTTTGGTATGATATTGATATGTTCAGGTTGTGAAATGTATTTTGTGGATTGTAAATGAGTGTTGATTTCATCTTAAATTCCATGGAAGTGGAATTATGGATGATAAACTTATAAGTAAAGGAAGTCTCAAAAAGTATACTTGTGTGAATGTAATTGAGAATTTTAGTAAGAAAGTGCATATAAATTGAGTAAGTACCTTGGATGGTTGGCATAGCTAGGTTTGGA